CGAAAGCAAATACCTTGGATCGTTTCCAATTTTCAGTAGAGAATGCAAAAGCAGTGATAATTTGTATTCCCAATTTAGAAGAAATGTCACAAATCTCTTTTAATTTTGGAATAATATGTTTGTGACCTTCATATACTTCTAAACCCTTATCCTTTGCCCATCTCCTATTACCATCCATTATCAAAGCAATGTGTTTAGGCATAAGTTCTTCATCAAGATCATTATCATTATCCTCATAACAAAGCTTTTCGGTTTGTAAGTTGAGTGAGCATGAAATCTTGTTGAGTCCACGAGCAGACACTGTCAGAGGCGAATTTGGGATTTGAAGTTTATGAATACCTACAAAATTAATAGTCAATTTTTTCATGTGTACGTATATAAGGTATGAACAAAATTAAATAATTCCCATAAGTAATTAACCTTTGAATGCACCCATGGATATTGATGTATTTTGTTGTAAAATCAGAGATGGAGATGATAATTTCCAACATTGAAGAACCAAAGAACTCATGCTTTATTACTCAAATTTATTTTATTGTGAAGTGAAACAAGGGAGGTGGTGTTTAAATAGAATTATGGTATGACTCTTTTGATCAATAGATCAATAGTTCTATATTGATCAATAGTTCTATATAGGGTTGTTTATGCTTATGGTTAAAAAATTATATTGAACCGCATTTCGAACAAAATTAATTATACAAATGAGATGCGAATTACATAAATTATTGTCCTCTCTCGCTCGGCTCTCTCTTTCCTCTTCCAATCTCGCTCGCTTCTCTCTTTTCTCTCCTCACTCACCAGATATACGAATACGTATGTATACCAGTTACATATATACAATTATTTTGACAAATATGCATATGCAGTTCGCCTCTCTCCCACTCTCTACCTTGTCTCACTCACTTCTCTCTTTCCTCTCCCAATCTCGCTCGCCACTCTCCTCCATATAACATGTAGCTACTAATTGTAATTAACAAATTATAACTATGAAGCATAATTAAGATATTTTTTCGATAATCTACCATTTTGCTACACCATATGACTAACAAGCTCAATGGTAGAGTAAATTATTCGCATTTGTTTTACAAACCTCATGGATTGACTTCTTTCGACTACGCTAGGGGCGTTAAAAATGAACCCAAACATGGTAACATGCCCAATTCGCCCAGAATTTTAAGGGTTGGGCTCAAGATAATTTGAATTGGGTTCAATCTCGACCCATTCAAGCTTAACCTATTTGAAGAGAATTCTCAATTAAGCCTAATTCAATCTCCAATTTCAACCCGTTTTAGAACTTAGTATTAAGATATGTTCCTATATTTACAATATAAATTATTATCGATTTGTTGCCTTTTTTATGATTTATCTATCCATTTGTTACTTTTTTTAACAAAAAATTCTTGAACGGAACTTCAAAATGTGATTATAAAAGTTAAATATCAATATGTTAAATAACTAAGATTAATCGGATCAAATTGGGCGGGTCAAGGCCCAACCTATTTTTAGCTCATTTGAGTTCAAAGTAAATTTGGGCGGGTCTAACCCAACCCAATTTCTATTCAAACCCATTGTAATATTTCCAATTTCAACCCAACCCACCATTTAACACCCCTGAACTACGCCATCACCAAGTTCAAAAGTGTAAGTTATGAATTTGTGTTATGTTTTATAAAGTATGTATCAAATAGATAAAGACTAAAAATTGCTAAATCAATTATCTCCTAAATAACTGATAATACCAATAAAGAACGAATACACCTTTCACTTAATAATGCTCTTTCACTTTACTTATTTATCTAAAATGTCAGATGCAACCTTTATTTAAAATCTTATCAACATAAATATCTATCAGTTTTTTTTCTTTTGATCCGTCTTCATCGGCCTATATAATCACGCACCTTGACATCTCTCTGGTCAAGGTGTATTAGATAGAAATTATCAATTACTCCCCCCGTCCCATATTATAAGTCACTTTTTCCATTTGTACTTGCAACAGGAAATTAGATAATTTTATTTCTATAGCCTTATTTAATTAGTTATAGATTTTCAAGATTAGTTAAAGTAAATATATTTTTAAGATTAATTAATTAATCAATAAGGATATAATGAGCAAAATATGATATCTTATGCATAAATATTATAAAATAACATATATTATAATCCAATTGTTTTTATAAGAAGAAAATGAGGGACCATGTATGAGGAAAGGATATAAAACTCTATTTAATGTGTTTTAGTCTACAATGAATGCACTTTTAGTGATAAAAGAAAAAAAAGTAAAAAAGATATCGATATTAGTTCACCCCTAACTACTTACAATAATTGTATTTTCCATGTGTCATATAGCTCATATCTATATAAAGAAAAATAGGTTGGTAAAACTTGTGGTAGGATTGAGATATTTCAAAATATTCTTATTATCTTTCAATTATTCTTACAATTTATTCATGACATAGCTTTCGAGATCATCAATTTTCTCAAATCGTCATATGTGAAAATCAGAGTGACATACTTTTTAATAGTTATCAAGTTTGACTATAGCGCAACTAAGGGTCTAAGATAACTATAACTATAGTCATAAATTACAGAATGGAATTAGCCTCAAGTTTTTAATAACATGACATTGGAAAATACAACTTGTTTTACTTAAAAAAATACTACTGTTTATGTTTAATGGGAGAAATGAGAAAAAATTGACTAGGTTTCGAAAAATCAATTAATCTTATTGTTTAAGAAAAACCGACCTTCAAAATTGGAGTCGCCACTTGATTTTTGATAAAATCAAGAAAAACTTCAAAAGATTTAAAAAACAGATTAAAAATCAATTGAAAAGGGTTCGAAGTTCAATGTACATCTC